GAGAGAGAGAGAGAGAGAGAGAAACCCCCGGCCCGTTGCATCATTGCCCGGCTCCCTCCGGAGGAGGCAGAGCCCCGGTCATCCCCCGGCCCTCCCGGTTACCCCCGGCCCTCCACCCGCTTCCAAAGGCTGCGCCGAGAAACTTTCTCCTCCCCGGGCTCGCAGCATCTCCGCGGGGCGCGGGGCCGCGGCTGTGCACGGGCAACACGTGCTTGGCAGAGCCGGGCTTTAAAGGTAATTAGGAGCGAGCTCCGATTTCCTGCGATGATTTACGCCTGACAGTCGGACACCGAAATAAAACGCCGGTCATAACCTCGACGCGGCTGCAGCAGCAGAAACAGCAGCAGCGGCAGCGAGGGGAGGGGGACACGCAGAGGCCATCCCGGTGCCCTCCCCGCCGTACCTGTGTTCTGCAGGGACAGGCGCCCCTTCTGCTGCGGGGTCCTGTCCTGCGGCCCCTCCGGCGGGTGCGTGGCCTCAGTGCCCGCGGCAGCCCGGGCGCTGGCCAGCAGCATGGCCATAACCAGGGCCAGCAGCAGCGCCGGGGCCACCAGCTTTCCGCCGAGCTCCGCGCACATGGTCGCGCCTTCCCCCCGCCGCCGCCGCCGCGTCCTCCCCCGCGGGGTGCCGCACCCGGGCCCAGCGCGCTGCTCGCCGCGGCCCCGCGAACCGCAGCATGTGCCCGGCGCGGCGGCGAGCGCGGAGTGGCGGCGGCGGCGCCGGAGGGAGCCTCAAATATCCCCGCCGAGCCCCGGTGTCACTCGCATGAGGGAGCCGAGCAGGTGTCGCTCCGCGCCGCGGCCAATGGCAGCCGCCGCCCCGCTCCGCCCGCCCTGCCGGGGGCCGGCCCGGCCCCGCCGGGCAGGTTGCAGCCGCCCGCCCCCCGCCCCACCCGCGCCGCCAACGGGGGATGGGGGTGCTGGGGGCAGCGGCACCCGCTGGGGAGGGGGAGAGACAGCAAAAAAAAAAAAAAAATTAGTATTAAAAAAAAAAAAAGGTGAGAAAGCGAGGTTTTGTTACGCTTTGGAGGGAGGTGGCAGCCAGCGGTCGGTCCCCCCACCTCCCATCCCCTCCGTGGGCAACTTCGGGGCGCTCCAGTCGCCGCTGGCCTTGCGCGAGGAGCAGCGGGGTGCCCGTGCTGCCCCGAGCCGGCTGCCAGCTCCGGCCGTCCTGCGGCACTGCCGCCTCATGGCAAGACTTGATTTAAAAGAAAAAAAAAAAAAAAATCTCTCTCCGAAGCAGCTATTGCAATGACTTTCTTGGAAACCCTCCACTCTCTCGGTTTTTCCCCCCCCTCCCTCCACCCACCTTGGGATTTGTACCCTGCTTGCTGCGAGGGGATTTGGGCCAACTACATCACTTGAGGGGGGAAAGTGGTACCCTGGGTGCAGACCTGGATGGGTGAACAGGGACGGGCGCTGCTTTCCCAGAGGGAGAACCCCCTTAGACCTCCACCACCATGGGGAGAGCATCACCCTTACAACCCCCGCCAGGCAGCTCTGACTGCTGCCTTTTGTCCGGTAGCTGGAGCGGGGTGGGGGACACACCAACACACATACACACACACCCCAGGACGAGGTAGGAAAATCCGTAGCAGGTGATGAGAAGTGCCGCGCTGGCTGGGGAGGGGCGAGCGTGTCTCCCCTTGCCCTGCCGTAATGCACATCAGATGTTTCATCAGACCCCGCCGGCCCCATGCGCTCCTGCAGCCCCCCGAGCTGTGCCGTGCCGGGGGCGGGGGTCCCGCCGGGGAGCAGGGGAGGGGGGGGGGGACACACAGCCAGGAATGTCTCCAGCTGCTGCTGCCGCCCGCTTCCTCACAGCTGTCAAAATGCACTTGAGGAAATCCACTCACACCTCCCCGAGCAAGGGTCTCCTCGGCGGGACGTGACACCGCGCCGCAGGACCATGGCTCCACGGCTACGCAGCAGCAGGCACGTCCTGACATCCTGACACCCCCTGGCAGCCCCCAGCCCTCCCCTGGTTTTGTCTCGGGCCCACGGGGTTTGTGTGCTGCGGCTGAGCCGTGCGAAGTTTTATTTTAATTCTTTATCCTTCCGGAGGGTTTGACATCGCAACGTCTTTTTTTTTTTT